AAGTTTGGAATCAATAATACTGAGTAATGTAATACTATGAGTTCCACTAACCTGTCTGCAATTAACTTGGAAGTAAAAATAAACTATTTTACTGCTGAAAGTCATGATTAGCAAACCTTTTCTTCCTGTTAGTCCTATTGTTTATTTGATAGTTATAGAGTTTGAGAAGGAAGAATAGATATGTTTGAGGTGAGGAGAACAGACAAGTTGGAAAGATAATTGGTAGTTAATGAGAAAAATAAAAATAGTGAAAACATCAGCTATAGCTCAGCTTAGCTGAATTCTCCACTCTCACTTCTGACAAACATTAGAAGGGCAGATTTTTCTACTATATAAACAACCTCTTTAGTTTATGTTGTTTTTCTTTTTTAACTTAATTTTTAATTTTTATTGAACGCATTCACATGTTCTAAAAAGTCAAATGATACTAAAAAAAAAAAAGCTCATAACATTAAAAGCCAGCTATCTTTTTTTCCCCTGCTACTTCCAGAAGGAACCACTTTCTTTTAGTTGCTTCTTCTGATATTTACATACTTATTTCATATTGTATTCTTTGCTGTATCAATTTTAGACATGTTGTTGTTACTTTTATATTTGTTTTCTTCAGCTACCATAAAAACTGAATGGCTTAAACAAAATTTATCTTATAATTCTATAGTTCAGAAATCCCATACAAGATCTTAGACCAGCGGTTCTCAACTTGTGGGTCGCGACCCCTTTGGGGGTCGAACGACCCTTTCACAGGGGTCGCCTAAGACCATCGGAAAACAAAAAGATACTTACATTACGATTCATAACAGTAGCAAAATTACAGTTATAGAGTAGCAACGAAAATAATTTTATGGTTGGGGGTCACCACAACATGAGGAACTGTATTAAGGGGTCGTGGCATTAGGAAGGTTGAGAACCGCTGTCTTAGACTAAGATCAAGATGTGGGCGGGGCTACATTCCTTTCTGGAGGACTTAGGTAGAGAATCTGTTTCCTTGCTTTTTCCAGCTTCTAGTAGCCACTTTCTTTTCCAGGCATATGGCCCCTTTCCTTCATCTTCAAAGCAAGCCGCGTCAGGTAGGCCTAGTCTTCACACTGCCACCTCTCTGATTCTCTCACTTTTAAGGGCCCTTATAATTACATTGGGAACACCAAGATAATAGACTCCCTATTATAAAGTCAGCTGATTAGCAACCTTAATTCCCTCTGAAATTTTAATTCCACTCCATCGTGTAACCTAAGATTTTCACAGGTTTTATGTACATCAATCCATATGTTCACAAGAAAAGTAAACTATTTAAAATGTTTTGGGATGTTCAATGGGCATTCTACTCAATGTGTTCATCCTCTGGAGTGAGTATGAGACAAGAGACTTGGATCTGTAGTTCCCTTAGTTGGTCCTGGGTCACTAAGTTCTTCCTATAATGTGAGCATCTGGCCAAACTAAGATTCTGTTTTTTAAAAACACATGTTGTTGGTACAACACAGTCTCTAAACTTAAACTATTATAGCTACTTTATCCTTAGCTCAGTTAAAGAAACAGTAGTCTGTTCTGATTCCGAAATTAAAACTATGTCTCTTGGAATTATAAGATGGATAAGTTTTGGAAATAGTAATGGTGGTGTCACATCATTGTGACTATAATTAATGTCATCATGTAATAAATTGTATACTTAAAATGGTTAAAATGCAAATGTGTTAAATATACTTAACCACAATAAAATAAGGAAAACAAAAATCATGTGACATTTATTCCTGGGCTTTCAGTTGCTTTGTGTCTATCCTTATACCAGTACCATATTGTCTTGTTTACTGTAGCTTTGTAGTTACTTGAAATCAGTAAGTGGGAATCCTGTAACTTTCTTTTTGTTTCAAGATTGACTATTCTGTGTCCCTTGAATTTTCATATGAATTTTAGAATCTGCTTATCAATTTTTGGAACTGAGTTTCTAAGCCCAGCTCTGCTATTCATAGTTGTGGGACCTTTGAAAAATTGCTTGTCTCATTTTTTTCATAATCATTATTATAGGTTATAAGAGTTAAAGGAGGAAATACATGAAAAGTCTGACATAATGCTTGGCATATAGTAAATGCTCAATATACTTCTACTAGCAATATTGCTACTGTTACCACCACTGTCACTGCCAATGTATTACCATTTTTATATATTGTGTAGGGTAAAATAGAACTCTGCCTCAAGTGTATTCTTTCTTCTACAATGAGGACACTGTGTCGTAATGGAAAGACCAAGAAATTTGGAGTTGAGTCTACCTGAGCAGTCACTATGGAATACTGATAGTATGTTAAATTTATAGGTATTTTAAGTATAGCTTTGTTTCATAATGCCATGAAAATAGAAATGTCATTTTCAGAAATCAGTTCAAAGGTCAAAATTAGGGGTTAGTAAAGTTACTATTACTTTGGTTGTAGTCAGGGAATAGGAAAAAAAGATGGGTGAAGTAAGTTTATTCTTGAACTTTTTTTAAAAACTTACTTGCTTATGACTCAGTTTTCTTTAATTACTTCTAGATTGTTTCTTTTTATTGGATTTAATTCTAGTGTTTCTGTCAGCTTTAATCTCCTTTCTCATTTCTATGTTTAATAGTATAATACAGAGGCCCTTCAAGTATCCTGCATTTTTAGCCAGTGGGTCATGTGATTATCCTACTATTTTGTCAGTATACTATTCATATGTGTAATGTTTGAATGTCATATGTCCATTTTAATCCATGTAAGAATATGTTAAATCATATATTTTTACCTGTCTTTTTAACAGTCGAAACCATTATCATTAGTTTGAAGTTGATGTAGGAATACTAATCTGGAAGCCTACCTTCCCTAGGTTGGGATTCCAGGAAAGACAATATTTAAGCTAGTTTCATTAACATTAATCAAAAGAAAAATGGTTGTTTGTTGAAGTAGAATTAAACTTTATCATAGCAACTTTGTTTTTACTTTTTCAGAAGTCAACCATTATCACCATGGCATCTTTGAATCATTATTGTATTAACAAATTGAAACTATTTCTGTAATCTATGTAATAGGTGTTATAAACTGCTTATATTGTTATATAACCAGTCTATTTTACAATGGTATGTGCTTTTAAAATGTTTTTTATTTTGAAATAATTTCAAACTTACAACTTCTACTTAGCTCTGTTGTAACACTTTAGTGCATTATATTACACATATTTATTAACTCATCTGCTTCCCTAAAAGACGAATTTTTTTGCATCCTCATTCTCTGGATTATATCCATTACATGATATGAACTCAATGAATAAAATGATGACCTCATTATTTGCAAGGCTATAAATTGTAGTTGTTTTCCTCTAATGTCTTTACTGATATCCCAACAATCTTAACTCCTAATTGAATAGTTTTAATAATTGACAATGAAAACATTTTTTAAATGGCTACTTTAAACACCTTACAGAGTTATATAATTTTTATTTTAGTAACATCTAGTATTGCTCTTTTACTAGTTATTTTGCTATGATCTTATTTATTATGTCACTTATATACCTTATCTAATATGAATTAACTTAAATTTCATTAGTGTTTTCATCATTCAATCATGACATTTTAAGTCTAGGAAATAATTCTCAAATAAAGATCTGAACACTAGTTTCATTAGCAAGGATAAATGGTAATAGTAAAGAGTTTAAATGCAGAGTTTTCAATAGCAATAATTGGTTAGATTAAGTCATTTTTTAAATGGAAACTAGAATGTCATTTATTAATTTACATTTGAGACAAGAGATATCCTAAAGTATTTAGAATATGTAAGTGCCTTATTTATGACAGTCTCTTTCCTAATATTGAGTACTTATAAAGCCAAATAAGTAATCACAAAGTTCTTTCTTAAGCACTGAATTAGAGCAATGGTAGGTAGCTATCTTGGAATTTAAGAACCTAGAGCACCTGTTTGATAGAGACATGATAGTGGACACAAATGCAAGCCATATATGTATTTTTAAATTTTTAGTAGCACATTTTAAAAACTAAAAAGAAACAGATGGAGTTAATTTTAATAATATAGCTTATTTAAGCCAGTATATCCACAATGTTATTTTAGCATGTAATCAGTTTTTAATTTTTTTATATGAAGTATTTGAAATCTGGTCTATATTTTATACTTTATGTACATCTGTATTAGCTCATTTACTCACTAGCTCTTCACTTACTTAAGAATATTACTGAATGTCTCTGTGTCTCAATTTTCCCATTTTTACAATGGAGACAGTTACAAGAGTTAAGTTAGATAATATATGACTGGTTTGCAAATGGTTAAGTGTTACATAAATCCTAGCTGCTTTCTAAAAAAATGTTTGAAACAGATGAACATGACATGTAACGACATCACTGCCTCAAGGCAAAAATCATATCTCAGGCATTAAATTTGTAACCCTCAAGCACTCATCTCTTTCCCTTGGATAGTGCTGAGCACATAGTTCTCTTTGACTCCCTGTTTAAATTATTTAAAAAAAAAAACACAAAATCAGTATTGGTACATCATTTGTGAAATGTACCATACTAATGCAAGATGTTAACAGACAAAACTGTCTTGGGGATCTGTGAAATATATTTCTTTACTCTTTGCTCAATTTTTCTGTAAACCCAAAGCTACTCTGAAAAATAAAGTCTGTTACAAAAACAAACATAAAAAGCAAACACCATGTCTACTACTGGTTCTTGATACACCTTAGTTGTGACAGAATCCTTCAGTAAAAATTGCAGTTTCAGTATCATTAAAACCATCAATAAGAGAAATTTAGTTACGGTTAAAAATTTAACATGTTTCCTCATTCAGTACTCATTCATTATCTACCTCTTTTTAACAAACATATGGAAAACTTAATCACAAAATGGTTGTCTTTCCTCCATGGTTATTGGGATGGGCAATGGGCAATTAATTATTGGTGGCACTCCAATGCTAATGGCAGAAGTATTCTATATTTTTTTATACACAATTGCTGGTTTTGAGACTGTTTTCTTCTCCTAATTTCAGGTTGGGTGGAACTATATCAGCATACAAGATAGTACCAGATGAAATAGAAGAAATCAAGGTATAGTGTTTTTCACTCTGCAAAGACTGAGTATCTTGGTGGGAAGGCGGAGAAAAGAATTGCTTTTTCTTCATATTATTGACTCTTTGGGTATGTTAGGAAAGCATGTAATTCCCAGTTATCCTATTTGAATTAAAAATAGGATCAGATTTCATCTACCATTACCATCAGATTGCATCTACCATTATTAATGCATTTCTAAGAAAAATATTGGAACCAAAAAGGAACCCTTTCCTGTGAAATTCATTGAAAACCTACTTAAGAAAGGACTGTATATAAGCATTAGTGTGCATACTGGATTATCTTGTTTTTATTTCTTTTCCCTGTAAGCTTTCCCAATTATAAATGATATTAGGCTTCTAGTAAATATTTCCTGGTTCCTTTGAAAACAGTGCGTCAATTTCAATTTAAAATTTACAGTACAATAAATGAAAATCGACCTTTCTGAAAATTATAGCATTATTACAGTCTTCTGTATCTTAATATTTTACTAAATCCTGTACGCTAGTAGTCTTCTAACATAACGTATAGCCCTGTCCACAAACAATTTACAATCTAACAAGAACTAAACTTACTACCTATTCCATAAATAATATTTAACAATCTGATTGCAGTAGTCAAGTATAAACAATACTGAGTTAAGTTGTTAAAAATGACATGTAAAGATCTCAACAAATCATTAAGCTTGATTGGATCAGCTTTTCAAAATCAAGTTTGGTGAATTGAAATCTTAGTAAATAATTCTTTAATTTATTTACATTATTTTTAAATCAGTTAAGCTCATTGATCTTTATAATATACTATTAGTTTCAATATGTCAGGTGTTATGTGTAGACAGCATCGGGAATTAATGCCATGATTATATTCTAGCAATTAGAGAAAAAACAGTGTCAAGAGACTTATTCCAACTTAATATAAATTCACAAAGTAATTTAGGTGGAAGGAACCTTAGGTCTAATCCAGATCTCTCCTTTTCAAAAGAGAAAATGGGAATTAGTAAAGGTGAACTTGTTAAAATTAATTGTTGGAGTGATTACTTCCAACAATATAATCAAGTGTTGGTAAAGGGTCACAATAATATGGGTATATTACTTCTTGAAATAAATATTAGAGTGTCAGAAAAAAATTAAACTGTAGACACTTTAATCAATAAATGTATATGTAAATAACTAAGCAGCATTTATATAAAGGATATAGAGTTGAAATCCGTCCATCTTAAAGGTGCTCTATCTTATTTACAATTGTAATATGTTAAGTGATAAAGGTAAATAAAGTGTTCTATAAATACATAGGAAGGGCACTTGGCCGTTTGGAAAAAATAATCAGCAAAGCCTTTCCAAGAGGTAAGCTCTGCAAACTGGAGTTCTATACAGAGGCATAGTCACCTGTGAAAGCATAAATATGAGACAATATGACACCAGATCACAGGGTATAAAATAAAGACTGCTGAGATACAGGGCTGGCAGTGGGCCTTCATCCCATTTAAAAAATTTTGGATTTTATACTGAAAACTATAGGGTACCATTATGTGATTTTTAAGAAAGAAAATAACATTGGGGCAGCTGGTTAACTCAGTTGGTTAGAGCGCAGTGCTCCTAACACCAAGGTTGCTGGTTCAATCCCCACATGGGCCACTGAGATGTGCCCTCCACAGCCAGATTGAAACAACTACTTGGGGCTGATGGGTTCTGGAAAAACACACTGTTCCCCAATTAAAAAAGAAAAGAAAAGAAAGAAAGTAACAGAATCAGCTTGGTAAATTTTTTAGGTTTTTCTGTGATGAGTGAGAAAAATGATTTCAATGAAGAAGAGGTTCCATTTGTAATATAACGAAGAAAGGATACCAGATTGCAGGAATACAGGCACAAAAGGATTGAAATGTGAATGAAAGTGCTGGCATTGAGAATGAAAAGACCCAGATTCAGGAAGTGTTATTTAAGAAAATAGAATAAAAAAATCCCTGATTATTTGTTTCAAGTTTAGGGGAAGTTGGAAAGGTTGACTCAGGTTTCTGGCTTAGGAAACTGAATAGATTGTGTTAAATGTTAAATTTTTTTTATAGGTTTTATTGGGGAATTGGGGGAGGGGAAGAGTGTTGGGGAATTGGGGAAGGGGAACAGCCAAGTTGTTGTTCTTCAGTCTTAGTTGTGGAGAGCACAAGTCCTCAGCTCCAAGTCCAGTTGCACTGCTCAGCTCAGGGTGCTGTGTTCAACCTTAGTTGTGGGTGGGTGTAGCCACCATCCCATGCGGGAGTCGAACTGGCAGCCTTATTGTTAAGAGCGAGTGCTCTATCCCCTGAGCTACCCAGGCAGCAGCTCAGCTCAAGGTGCCGAGTTCAGTCTTAGTTGTGGGCAGGCATAGCCCACCATCTCGAACAGACAACCTTGTTGTTAGGAGCACTGCCCTCACCAGCTCAGTTATTCTGCCACCTGTTGGCAGCTCACTGGCAGCTCAACTCGGGCGCAGCTCACTGGCCCATGTGGGACTCAAACCGGCGACCCTGTTGCTCAGAGCTTGCACTCTTGAGCAAGCTCTTAACCAATTGAGCCACTTAGCTGGCCCCTAAATGTTAATTTAAAGAAGAGATACATTAAAAAAAAAAGTTTGACAGGAAAGAGGGTACATTTTGGACTGATTTTATTTGAGGTTCCTCTCAGACAACTAGATATCCACTAAATGATTGGATAAATCAGCCTAGAACTCAGTAAAGATAATTCTATTGATTGATACTGGGATTTGTCATTGTGGAAGTTAGTTGAGGCCATGCTAGTGACTGGAATAGCCTAAAAAAGCTGTATGAGGTAATAACAGTGGACCGAAACTATTGCCCTGGGGAAGGCCCATCCTAGAACCAGAGGGTTAATATATTATTTTATTAGTTTAATTCATTAGCAGAAATGATACTTTTTATTAATGACTTTCCTTTAGGAAGAAAAGGAGTAGATTTCATTGTGTTTTTTGAAATTCTAGAGTTATAAGGGTTATCCCTCAGGAGATTTAAAAAAATATATATTCATGGATGGCATGTAATATATGATTTTTTTCCATCAATTACTGGTATTATATCTAAAAGAGCTTCAGAGAGTTTGAGTCCTGAGGCATAAAAAATATGAAATTTATTCTTGCATTAAAATGTGTTGGAAGGAAAACTGTTATAAAATGTTTCGCCAACGTATGATGGCACTATAACATTTTCAGCTAAAATCAGATAGTATAATCTTTTTGTTTTGATTGGGGAAATGTGAAACATCTGAGTGTAATGTTCATTTTAGTTGGCTAATATCTCAGTAATTTTAAATTATTTAAATGGAACAATTAAGTTTAAATTTGAAATATACTGTCAATAATATGTATAAATAAATATGTATGTGTATTTTTACTATTAAAAAGATATGATTGATGAAACATAATTCAATTTTTGTGAGATGTGGTAATCTTTCACAATGTTTCTAGCACCAGAAATCATTATTTAGTTCATTCATAGTTTGAATTAAGCATACGTTTGTTGATTACAATAAATCACCTCATAGCAATGGATGCTTGGCCAAAAGTTTAAGGGATAAAAAATGTGAATACATTCCTGGTCCAATCCCAATAATCTCTTCTACCCAATATACAGTTTTATTCAGTATCAGTTTCTTGCTTTTATTTAGTTTTACCACATATGTACACATTCCCAAATATTGTAATTTATTTGTGCTTCTCTTTGAATTTTATATGAATTGAATCACACTGTATGCAATCTTTTGTGCTTTGCTTGTTTTGTTCCACTGTGAGATTCATCCTTGTTGTTGTTTATAGCTGTTTCTTCCTTTCATTTTTTTGCCATAAAATACTCAATACTCCATCATGCCATAAATTATTGAGAAATCCTACCGTTGATGGACATTCAGCTTGTTTTCATTTGGAGTTCTTATGAAAAATGATACTATAAAATTCTTATAAAAGCATCTTGTGTAAGAGTTTCTCTGAGGTATATACTGAGGAAAGGAATTCCTGGGTTTTAAGTAATATGTATTTTCAACTTTTCTGGATGAAATCAAACTGTTTTGCAAGGTAGTTATGTCAATTTACACTACCGCCTTGGGTATATTTATTTTAAATAGAGATATTTAAGTATTAACTCTTTAATGTATCTGTAATTTATTGATATAAATTTATTTTTATTTATATATGAGATAACTTACAGTTTACAGTCCAATTTATTGAAAAACCCATTTTTTTCCCCACTGATTTGAATTGCCTCATGTATCATATACTACATTTTTATATGTCTAGGTACGCACATACAAATACATAACGTCTGTCTTTTCCTAGACTTTTATTTCATTGATCTTTTTATCTATTTTTTGCTAGCACCATACTTTGGGGGGTGGGGAGTGGGAAGAGGGCGGTGGTGCCAGAAGGAAGTGGTACAAGATTTTTCAAGTGCTGAAAAAAAGAACTGTCAACCACAAAGTCTATATCCAGTGAAATTATTCTTCAGGAATGAACGGGAAATAAGGACATACTCAAACAAAAGAAAACTGAAAGAATTTGTCACTAGAAAACCTACTCTGAAAGAATGGCTAAATAAATTCTCTAAAGAGAAAGGAAATGATAACAGAAAAAGGCTTGAAACTTCAGAAAGGAAAGAAGAACAGCAGAATAGGTAAATATAGTAGACTATTGTTATTCTTTTTATGATTTTCTTAAATCACATTTGAAGGTTGAAACCAAAATTATAACACCATATGATGTGGTGTACTATGTGTGTAAATAATGAACACAGTGATATTTAAAATGTGGGAGGGTAAAGGTTTCTAAATGAAAGCAAAGTTTCAGTATTTCACTTACAATGATAAAATGTTACTACCAGTAGACTGTGGTAAATTACATCTGTATATTGTAGTACTCAGAGCAACTACTAAAAGAAGTATATGAAACAATATATACAAAAATACTATAAAATAACATGAAATTCTAAAAAGTGTTCAAGTAGTCTACAATAAGGCATGAAG